GAACACTCCCTGTCGTCTCCTTCTTAACAGCAGCATTAAAGTGCTATTGCAACTTCTTTTTATAAAGCATTGATGGCTACGAAAGCAAATAAGCGCTCACTTTATTACTTAAATCGCTGTCATAAATCCTACCAAAGAGGAAGCTGTGGTTTTTTCAGCTTCCCATTCGTTGTCCTTGAGAAAACAAATGACATGGCAGTCGCAAGAACATGCAATCATTAGATTTCCAATTCCTTTGCATCTTATTTAGTTTAGATTTCGATTTAGGGAAAGAGCCCTTCAGTCTAAGCAGCCATGGCTCTAAGGTGTGCCACCCAGTATGTCTTTGCGGGGACATTTTAAAAGCTTAATTATTTACAAGCCAAACGGAGGGTTCATTGCAGGTGTGTGATGCCAACTTTGAGTCCATATAATCTACAAAGGATTTCACACATCAGGTCCTGAACTGAGGAGAAGGCTAACTACAGCCTTGGAGCAGCATTCAGTCTTCCTCCCCAGGCTATGTTTGAACCTATAATTCATGTAAGTTATCTGGACCATCCCAAAGCTATCTGGAAGTCTCAAGAAACAGCAATTTACCTCCTAAACATCCTTGCAGATGGCCAATTCTCTTGCACCAGGAGTCACTCCTGACAGGCCAAAAAAAAAAATTGTGGATGGCATGATTTTTGAAAGCAATTGCAATGCTTTATGTGCATTCAATTTTAATTTTAAATTTTTAACTTAATGTATTTTAACTGTTTGTTGTTCAAAGGCATTGAATAGTTGCCATATGTAAAGCCATCTTGAGTCCCCTTCAGGGTATAGAAAGGCAGGAAACAAATAGAGCAAATAAATAAATAAATAAAGTTTCAAAGTTTACTTGAAAGCACACAGCAAATGCATTGTAATCCACAGCAAGACAGTTCTACAATTTTCTGAAATCCCTTTCACCCTATATTGGTGTACAGTACTATTATTCCACTTGAATTTCTATGGGCACTGACTAAAGTATACTTTTCACATGTCACATATTTTATGTTCTTAAAATAACTAAGCAATTTGCAATCAGTAAAAAATGCTAATTTTACATTTTTCATTTTTTAAAAGATTTTTTAAAACCTGAAATCTGTCTCCCATGACTTCAAACTTTCAGGAAATTTTTATATCTGTAACTGTCAGGCTTTTCTGTTACAGGACCACAATTTGGAAAATACATTCCCAAGGGAGACATGTATGATTTTATTTCCAGGAGCAGATTTAAATGTTGTTTTTCAGATATTATATGATTTAACTTATTTCTCATCACGGCTCTTTAATGGATATATTCTAATTGTATTTTCAACACTATTTTTATTATTTGTCTGTTTTCGTTCTAGATCAGTGGTTCTCAACCTGTGGGTCCCCAGATGTTTTGGACTTCAACTCCAAGAAATCCTAACAATTGGTAAACCGGTTGGGATTTCTGGGAGTTGTTGGATCAAAACACCTGGGGACCCACAGGTTGAGATCCACTGTTCTAGATGATACAGTTGGAGTATTCTTTATCTGAAATGCTTGGGACCAGTAAGGTTTTTTAAAGGATTTTGGAATATTTGCATATATATGAGATATCCTGAAGATGTGATCCAAGTCCAAACATGAAATGAATGCATGTTTCATATACACTTCATACACGTAGCCTGAACGTAATTTTATGCAAAGTATTGTAAACATTTATTTTTCCATGAAATAAAACTTGCACGCATCACACTATCAGAAAGCAAAAATGTCACTATCTCGGAAACACATGTGGATGACTCTGGATTTTGAAGTATTTCAGATTTCAGAATTCCATATCAGGGCTATACAACCTTTTGGAAATTGTTATTGTATACAAATTGCATGCAAAGTATTTTTTAAGAGCAAAACTATCTTTTGAGACAGTCAATATTTCTTATCTTGTACAACAACAACATAGCCCTTGGGAGAGTTGCCTTCACAATGAGATGCTCTTCTAAAACTATACCAAGGAAGCTTTATATTTCTCTCAGCTTTGGAAATTTCCTCACCTCTCATCACAGGAAGTTGTTACCCCAGCTTACCTGAGACAAGTTCCTGTTATGTAGCCATGGGACAGTTTCGTTCAAATAAAGTTTTGGAGAATGATGTAATGTTGGATAACCGTCCACAGTAGTAATTCTATTGGTGACCTGTTTGCATCCTACAATGTTTTTACAGTCCTGTGGTTGTGTTTTTATCACAAGGGAGACGAGGGGAAAACGGGAGCAGAACAATTTCAAAAGGGGAAGAAAAAGAGCCTCCAGATTTCCTTTGGTTAAATGAAGTCTTTTCCTTTTCCAATTTCCATTAATATCCAATTCTGGCATCTAACAGATGCAGCCTGTTCTGATGCACATGGGGTGGGAGCTCATAAAACCCTAAGGTTACCATCTGAACTAGGATGAACAGAAAGTTGTTGAAAAGCCTGAAAACTAAAGGAATTTGCCCTTTGCTCTCCGGATAAAGCTGAAGGAAAGACGAAAAAACAGCACAGAGATAATCACACACAATTGTGTACAAGGAACCTAATGCAATGTGTATGTGGTCAAGTGGGTTTGATATGTTTTGGTACTAGTCATAGACAACTGGATTTATTAAATGAACATGGCTACCCCAAGATCAATTTGTTAGTGGTACAACAAGGGAAAAATGATATTCCAAGGGCAGGGGAACTGTGAGTTTTAAAGGCTTAAATGTATTTAATATATTTTAATCTGCTTTTACCTTAATCCACACTGTACTATTTAATTGTTTTTCAAACTATTTCCAAAGTGTGGGATTGTTAGCTGCCTTGAGTCCCAACAGGGAGAAAGGCAGGGTATAATGATAAATAATAATAATATAATAATAATAAGAGAAGAAGAAAGAAAAGAGAAGAAGAGAAGAAGAAGAAAAGGAAGGAAGAAGAAAAGAAGAGAAGAAGAAAGGAAAGATTGAAGCACAATACTCCTGACCTCACAAATATGGATTGTCGATGATCCCAGGTGACAGCAGGATTGAAGAGAAGCAACTGGAAAAGCTGACACGATATGAGGATTTAAAGATCGAACTACAAAGACTCTGGCACAAACCAGTAAAGGTGGTCCCAGTGGTGATCGGCACACTGGGTGCAGTGCCTAAAGACCTTGGCCTGCACTTAAACACAATCAGCACTGACAAGATTACCATCTACCAGCTGCAAAAGGCTACCCTACTGGGATCTGCACGCATTATTCGCCAACACATCACACAATCCTAGACACTTGGGAAGTGTCCAACGTGTGACCCAATACAACAGCCAGCAGAGTGATCTTGTCTGCTGTGGACTCATCTTGTAGTGTTTAAAATAAAAATAATAATAATTTCCTCCATGTACAGAAATCAACTGGATTGGTATCTGAGACTTTTCATCCGCACTGGAAACCGGACTGCACTATCAATACCACTGGCTAGTTCAGGGTATGCTGTGCTCCATGAGAGCGAGTAACCATTATTTTGGACAAATGGCTTGTGAGGCCGCCTTCTACTTCTATGAGGCAACTGCCTCACACTAATGGTTAGGCCTGAATCTTAGGAACACAAAAGTTTCCGACCTGTAAATCAGTTGATTTGGCTTAGCTCCACTTTGCCATCTTTGCTGACCATGCTTCCCTAGTAAAAGAGGGAGAAATGCTCTACCATAGTATAACTACCTTTAAAATTCTGGGATGCATCTTTCATTTGGGAAAAAAGCCTAAAATTCCTCAACTCAGGTGATGAGAACTGCTGAAGGTTATATCAAGCGTAAAGCATTGTAGATTCTCAGGAAGGCACAGAATGGCTAAACGTATTTTATACTGCTCTTTCCAAAGGAAGATTAAGAAGGAATGCAGCAAAAGTGTGTAAAAGAATGCCAACAGTAAAGAAAGTAGATGGGAAGAAATTCACCCTGTCATTATAACATTTCACCATTCATTGAAACTGAGCAGTGAGAGATTCGGGGCAGATAATGTTTCTGCACATAGCACAAATGACAAAATTCACTTTAATAAGATAATAGTGATGGCCCCCAAAATCAGTAGTTTTAATCAAAAATTAGACAAATTCATGGAAGACTCGACAAATTCATGAAGGTACCATCACAACTAATCTATGTCCCCTCTAGTATGAGAGGCAGTATGCCTTTGTTTATCAGTTGCTGTGGTCCATGACTCAGATCCTGGTTGTGAACTTGCTTCCCATAAGCAACTGGCCCTTATATGGATGGAAAACTGGGCAACGTTGACTTTTGATCTCAGCAAGTAAGGTTCTCTTCATGATATCTGCAGGAATTACTTCTTATTCTTCGGTAGTTGAGTGCCATTTTTATATCTCTGAAAGGTCACGTTAAAATGATAAAACACTCTTTGAAAAGTCCATAAATCTGTGAAAACATTTTTAAAAAGGAAGTCTTTTTATTTTTAAATGCAAATATCATAATGGGATATCTAACTACCATCTCCCAAACTGGAGTCATAGAATCAGAGTTGGGAGAGATCCCAAGGGCCATCAAGTCCAAACCCAGTCTGCCATGCAGGAATACACAATCAAAGCACTCCCGACACATGGTCATCCAGCCTCTGTTTAAAAATATCCAGAGAAGTGTTGAGTTTTTCCCTCACGCCCCCCCCCCCAAGCAAAGTTACCAACATGTTCTTAAGTTCTGCTGGCACAACTACCATAATTGCAATAGATGAGGAGGAGAGTAGTCAGTGGGCGTAATCCACCTGAAACAAGTTCTTGGTAACTCAATTCAAAAGGATTGACAGATTCCAAGGAAAGTGCAGAAACCCATTAGTTTCAATTGTGGTCTTTTACTGATGACAAGTAGAGGAGTATTTTAATTTTAGCTAAGATAACTGCAGGATTCTGGGAGTTGCAGTCCAAATGAGCAATTTCCCTAAGTTCTAGGTGTAGCATGTCAACTTGTGAAACATTTCCAACTGTGTCTTAGTAGACCAATTTAATATAGGACACCTCTCTTTCAATTAAGCAGGTTTATTTGGAGGCTGTCTCCTCCTTAGGAGGGATACACAATACTAAAACAACATAAAAAGTTACTGTTTCAACAAAGAAACTGAATGACATAGAATTTGGGAACAGACAAAATGACATTTTCAAAAACAAGTGCCCATCCCCACATGCAAATAAAATCAGGAACTACTGAGTTCTCGTACCTACAGAATTTAAGAGGAACTTTCCGCACATAACCACAAAGTAAGACAAAAGAAAAAAACCATGATAACTGCTTGTCCACTAGAAAGGAAAGATGGCGGGAAAGACGGTTGATCAATATTCTCCTGGCTTGACTGTTACTGTTACTTCAGGTCGACTCCAACTTATGGAAACTCAATGACAGAGTTTTCTTGGCAAGACTTATTCAGAGGTTTGCGTTGCCTTCCACAAAGGTTCAAAGAGTATGAACAGCCCAAGACCTATGCATTTCTATGGCTAAGGGATATAAACCATGGTCTTCCAGAGCCCTAGTCCAGTATTCAAACCATTAAACCACACTGCCTTCCCATGGCTGATATATGGCAGGGCTTTTTTTATGGCCAAAGAGTATTTCATCCATCCAAATGCTCAAGGTTTTTTATTTATTTATTTATTTATTTGTGTCAGAAGCTACTTGAGAACAAGTCGCTTCTGGTGTGAGAAAATTGGCCAAGGGACGCTCGGATGTGATACCATCCTGCTGGGAGGCTTCTAGAGCTGACAAACGGGAGCTCACTCAATCTCACAGATTCGAACCAGCAACCTTCAGGTCAGCAACCCAACCTTCAGGTCAGCAGTCCAGCCGGTACAAGGGTTTAACCCATTGCACCACCACGGCTCTTCTAGATCTGTTCAAAGTCACCACCTGAGATTCTACAGACTCAAAAACTCTGTACCAGCTGATTTATCTGCTTGTACAGATCAAACCTAAAATGTCTTAATCCACAAACGGGGAATATGTGGTCTTCCAGGTGCTGTTAGTCCAGTAACTCTGTTTATGACCAATGAGAGTTTCAGCTCAACCATGTCTGGTAAACCAAAAGCTCAATGTAGTTCTTGTTTTAAAGAATCGTATCTACATGTGTTTATTCTGCATTCTAGTTCCTTGGTCCAAGTTACATGACTTAAAGCAATCATTATCCGGCTGAGAGAAAAGACTTCCTGCCTTGTAGTGACTTCAAACACAATATTCACTTGAGGTTAAAGAGTTAGTGCTTTAAAACAAACAATAAAGCCCAAGATAACAATAGCAGGATTATTCTCTTCAACCTTTTGGCAGACGATATGCACCCACTATGATGTTACATTGCATGATACTATGAGACAATTTTCATTTCATCCCCACATGGAAATATACATGTATATATATATATTATATGTCAAGTATTGCAGAAGCACCAAGTTATTTTATTTAGCATGTGTTATTAATACGTTATTCTTTGCCCATTCCACAACTTCCTACCCATCTCAGCTTTACCTAGCTTAGGGAAGAAGGCTATTGAGGCTATAAAAAAGGACTACTTTTAACTGGTATATACAACAGGTACTGGCATGGACAACTGGAGTTCCACACTATCGTCACTTTAAAAATAAGTAAACCTAAAGAGCTTGTGTGTGTTTCACACAGTTTCCCATAAAGGAACTAAATGTGATCACAAGTTCAGTTTTGCTGGCCAGACTTTACTCTTGTGTTGATCTCCTGCTTGTCATGCCTTCCCCATCTCAACCCCAAGTGGCTGACAGTAGTGCTAATGGGATAAAAAAATCTATGGCAACACGACACTACTTGTTTCCAAAACACTGCAGAAAATGGGATGCAATGTTGCAGAAGGACAGACGGGAAGCAATGTTCTAGACTTGTAATCTTTCTCCCATTTCTTTCCAGCCTCCAAGAAGGCTGATTTCAGTGCTCAGTAGTGCAGATCCCACCTGACTTTTGCCAAGTCATTCATTCTGGTTGAAACAGTCCTCTCTTTTCTGGTGCAATCGTCCCAATTTTCAATTTTATTCAGCCTCGCCTAAGACATCTAAAGGCTTTTACAGTGGCAGCAAGCCAAAAAAGGGTTCTTTGTCCAAAGCCAGAAGCACAGACAGAAGTCCCATGAGACGTTTCACTTTGTTAACTCCGCCCAGTCGATAAGGGCAAAAAATGGATGAGATTTGATGTCGTCAACTCCAGCAATTCCAGCACCAAGACGCTCTCCAGAATTGAACTGCAAAAGCTTTGAGACAAAGCACAGTTAGAATAGTGGACAGCTCAGTAAATCAAACAGATCTGATGCATAGTTAAGGTAGATTGTAGTTATAGTCCAATAACATCCAAAGGACTAGAGAATCCCTAAATCTGGAATTAAGAAAAACAAATGCCAAGGTAAAGGTAAAGGTTTCCCCTTGAAATTAAGTCTAGCTCTGGGGGTGGTGCTCATTTCCATTTCTAAGCCACCATTGTCTGTAGACACCTGCAAGGTCATGTGGCCAGCATGACTGCATGGAACACCGTTACCTTCCCACAGAAGCAGTACCTATTGATCTACTCACATTTGCATGTCTCCGAACTGCTAGGTTGCCAGAAGCTTACACTAACAGCAGGGGCTCACTCTACTTTTGGTCAGCAAGTTCAGCAGCTCAGCAGTTTATATGTAGGCATGGTTGTGTGCAAAGCTAATGTTTTTAGCATCTTTTGCACAAAATAGTTTTCTGCCTTCTCACATATAAAAAGGACGCTATACAAATATTTTACAAAAAATGTCCCCAAATATGCAAAGTTTTGATGTGGTTGACAATTTTTTATTGGGTATATCAATCTGTTAACACATATTTTCATACCAAGGGCAAATAAAGATGCAAGTCTTCCATACATGCCTACCTAGTACCTACCTAGGAAAAAGGAGAGAGATATAACATGCACACTCTGTGACTTTTATAAGAACACCAGGATCATTTTGGCTACTTCCTCCCCTCTCACAGGCTTCAACTTGAACAAAATAACCATATATACTTTATTATTAGCCTAGTTTTTCAGCACATTTTTAATGCTGAAAAAGCCCCCCTCTGCTTATATTCAAGTGAAGGCGAGAAGGCGTGGGCATGAAAGAAGGCCTTTGCATGGCTTCTGCCAGTTGTGCGTCTCCTCCCCTTTTGATACAGCAACCCAGCTGGGTCTCTGTGCCAAAAGAGAGGAGAGGAAGGCACACAGTTGGTGTGCCAAGATGGGAGGAGAAGAAGGTGCATGGCTCTTCAGCAACGCACCATCCCGCCAGGCTGGGCCAGCTGGGTTGCTGTGCCGAGTAGTGAGGAGAAGCTGCACTCCTTCCTCTTTTTCCTTCTCAGCACAGTGACCCAGCTGGGTTTCTGTGCCAGGAGAGGAAGGTGCATGGCCTCTCACAGCAACTGGATTTCTTGTGCCAAGAGGAGAGGAGAAGCTGTGTGCCTCAATTAATGTAATTTTATTGGTATCTATTTTATTTTGAAATTTACCAGTAGCTACAGCATTTCCCACCTTACGCTTATACTTGAGTCAGTAAGTT